AGGAAATGCTGTGTTGGCTGCAGCTGGGAAACCCCACCCAGACCTCTACGAACAGCGAATGAAAAAGACTGACAATGCTACAATGATTTTTCCTCACTCTCTTGTCTGTGAAGTGGCAATTGTAATGGACTAGTTCCATCTCTTTAAGTGCAACCAAAAAGAAACAGTTATGGGAATTCATCTGGGCCTCAGGGGTGACTGTGTATATATATTCCTAAGCTAGCAGACTCCTACCATTATATCAAAAAATGGTGATCCAGTGTAGCCATTAAAGTGTCCTATTCTATGTGTGCTCTGAATGTCTCTGTGTGGGGCCCTTTCTAGCCCAATCTGTCTTTGTTCTCATCCAGTGCTCACAAACAATAGGGACAGCCCAGACTGTTTGATGAAGTCCACGTGCATTGGAGTAGCTGCTCTCCCCAAAATGTTTATCTCTTCTCCTGGTAGACAGCTGTTGTGATGGTTTTTTTTGTGCCAGAGGAATGGTTCCAGCTTTCCCTCCTCTGCTGAGGATGAAAGCTCACTTGAAATCACCTGCTGTAAAATACAGGGGATTGGCAGCTGGATCACTGCCTGCCCTGTTCAGCTGGGCCAATGGAGCACTGCCCCATTGCATCTTCTCTGCACTCACGTGTACATCAGACCAATGCTTTGTGCGGAGGAAGTGGCATAATCAGATGACTATAATCCATGTGTTGCACACCTGATAAAATCTCCCCCAAATAAAAGATTGATAACTCAGATGATCTTGCAGAGCGTTGCCGCTGTACAGCGATTTGTGAGACAGAAGCAAAGGAAAGCACCAGCATGCAGCTGTCATACAGGTAGCCTGTCCTCCAAGCCTCTCGTGATCTTCTGAGCAGTGTCAGGTTTCTAAATGTTTTCCAGGAAGGAGGGATGGAGTGACCCTGTCCCTTGGCAAGATAAGGTGGTTATGGAAGCCTGTACACAGAAAGAATAATAATCAGCCTGACCCTTTGCAGGACACCACAACCTGAAAGCTCTCCTTGTTTCAGTAATCATCCTCCACTGTGGAAGACCAAAATAAGAAGGCCTAGCAATGCAAAAAAACCTGCAAGATCCCTGTCCCATCCGTGATATGTTTGTATCACCGCCCACCCTACTTAGCAACCTTGCTTGCTTTGCTAGTGAATGGCAGTGAGTCCTGCTCACTGCAATAGTGACTGGCTTCAGGGTGATTTGTGTCCCTCTGCCGCCCTCCCTGAACTGTGGTGTTCACAACGATGACTCTTTGTTTCTGCAGGAGAGCATTATACATTCCCTGGCATCAGGCCTGCTTGCTGTCTCCGTTCCCAACATCTTAATAAAGGCATGTAAATTCCGAGTCCCTCTTTGGACATTAAGTTCTTTCTTTGACACGGCTCCTGAGTGCTTTGGGGTTTTACACTTAAACACCTTTTAAAATCTGGCTAACAGATACTAGGTATGGTGACAGGGTAACGAGACCAGCTCTGCCATTATGGAGAGGGCATGAAGGGACCTCCTCATCACTGATCTTCATCAGATTAACTGTATAAATAATTTCCCCTGGCAAAACACAGCTATCTGAAAAAGTATCTGTAAATGGCACTTGTGCCCACATCAGCTTTCAGGTAAGCCAAAAGCAATAGGTGTCAGCTTGTGAGGGAAAATGAAAGGTAACTACATTTTTTGTGTGTGTCAGTAGGCTTACTTTATGAGAATGGAGCTGCAGGCTGTACCATCTCCGCTGAAAAACACAGGCTATCAGTAGCCACTGTCAAATAACAAGAGCAGCTAGCGGGATGAACCCAGCCTTTGATGCGAGGCAAAGCTGAGAAGGCACAGAGGGGGTATCTACAAGTCAAGCTGCCTCTCAGAGAGATCACAGCCTCTATGTCTATCTCTGTATTTCAGCTTCCTCCACTCTGCCGCCAGAAATCCTGGGCATGGGAGAAACAGCAATGGAAAATCCTGCTAGATCACTGTGCCACCTCAGACACACCTGGTTTGGTAGGCTCAGCTTTGCCACACAGGAATCCACAAGCGTACTGGAAAATTAACAGTGGTTCTGGAGGCTAAGTAGGAACAAAACCCACTAAGCTGTAACATCTTCTCTTTAAACAGAGAAGATCTGCACAAGCAGCCCCCAAGCCCTGACACTGATTCCATGTGACGTACCCAGGTCCCGCTGAATTCCACTGAAGTTTTGTCAGAGGTTTTAATTAGATCAATGTGTTGCTGTCTGAGTTTCACGGCACAATTCTTTCCGAGATTGTGATTAATTCCTCAGTCGCACAATTTTCTCTGAAATGCTTCCTGTAGTTTTGCTCACAGCACTGGAAAATGGATTTAGATGGGACAAATATTAAAGGTGGGCCTTACTAAGGCTGTTGGGCACAGGCATCTCCCCTCTCTCTGGTTCATTAAGTTCCAGATCTAACACAGCCTTTTCTGCTCAGTAGTGCTGCACTGAGGACTGGCTCCTCCAGAGTCATCTGAGCTATTGTGATAGGAATCAGCTGTGGAAAAGGCCCAGGGTCTTCCCAAATCCTGGCATAAGAAGTAAAGGAACAAACTGCTGACTGCACTGCATTTCCCTATGTCAGAGGAGGATTAATTAATGTTTTCAGGCTGCTTTGAAAATTAAAAGTGCCATGTGATACAATATTGCTGTTCCTGTTTTTCACCCTGTAGCTGATATGTAGCATGTCCCTTACAAACTAATTGGAAATTGCTTTTGGTATTTTTGGTGTTTTTCAGCTGAGCTGCTACAGCCTGCTGCTTTGTTCTAATAAATGTGCCCTACCTCACCCTCCCCTGTCCCCCTTCTTCTAAGCTCCTCTGCAAGGCAAATAAAAACATCAGTCCCTGGCACCATCTGTCAAGAACAGGCTAATCCATTCTCTGCTTGTCTCATGGTCAATTTGGTTTCTTTCTGATTGGTACAGCTACCCTTCCCTTGCTGAGAATTTAATACTATTCACAGGTTTGGGCTTTGCTTTATTTTCATGGTAATATCATTATGATGATTGCAATGTTCATACATCCATCCCCTCCACATGCACAGATGGGACAACAGTATTTAAGCAAACACGCAACCACCCAGTAAGGCAGATAGTATTGCTCTCCCCATTTTACAGAGGCAAAAAGAGAACTGACTAGCCCAAGGATGTATGGATGCCTCAGTCAGGAGAGCTAAGCAGAGAGCTCACAGGTCCCTGGATGAGACCTGGTGACTGACACCGACTAAAGCACCATTGCTTTGCCTCTCTTTTTTCCTCCTGTTTTGGCTTTGTTTACAGTGATCTCTATGGGAGATTTGCAAAGATGATTAAGATGTGGACATTTGTATAGCTCCTGTGATGAGACCGAGCAGATCCACCTGGGACAAAGCTCACAGTTGTGCTCTATGAGGCACAACAGCACATCAGGTCAATCTGTTAGCAAACAGGGCGCCTTAGACCAGTTATCTCCTCCATTTGCTAGAGGTAAGTGGGACCCCAGGCCCAGTCTTTATGGCTTCCTTCTAATATTCTTAGTACTTCTGTTGTTCCCATGCCATTAACTAACAGGTGATTGCTATCTGACAGATTGCTCTGACACTTTTCACTTCCTTTGCATGATCTAAAGAGAAGTTGATGACAGGTCAATCAGAAATGTCAATGCTCAGCTTTGTTCATGATCAGGTCAGACCTGACCATACTGAAGAGATCTGATTTTTTGGAGGTCTGCCTCAAAGCAAACAGCAGTTCTTAACGTATCGATGTTGATCCATCACTGACTGTCTATCCTCATGCAGGCGGTTGTGTACCCCTCTACCTAGCTGTTTCTAACAGTAAAAGAAGGAACCCATGCAAGAAGACACAAGCTGAGGGAAAGCTGGGCATATAAATACGTGCTGCCTGCTGTACGTTCACAGAGATGTCCTTTTGTCTTTGGTGTGAAATGACAGAAGAGTCCTGCCGAGTCATTCCTTCCTGCAATTACTGCAGCTTCTCTGGTGATACCACATGGATAGACCCAGGAATCACCGTACATGAAAAACACACTTTCCCTAACATGGATGTGATATTATTAAAACAGAAATCCTTAAAATGGCATGGCTTGCCCTATAGGGGAAGGAAAAAACCATCCCTTTTCATGTCTTTTTCATAACCAACAACTCAAAAGGATTTTTTTTTCCACAGTATTTTGGCCAAGACCAGTTTATTTGCCAAGGATGCAATCTGTGTGTGAACACCGAGCCATTAAAACTAGCAGGGGATAGACAGCGCTTGCAACCAGTGGCCAAGAAGGGCCACAAACACTTCGCCTTTTTCTTCCCTGAGCTTTCAACTCCATCATGGGCGATATTTGAGGTGTCACACAAAGATTTCAACCAGAGTGGCCTGAAACACTGCGAGCAGTTATCAGTCACAGCTTCACTGAGGTGAGGGTGCGGCCGACCGTCACCTCAGTGCCTTTCCCCACCTCAAACCCTCACAGGGCCTGTGGCGCTGTGAAGCTCCCTGCCAGGGCAGGCCAAGTCCCCGGGCATGGAAGGCCTTGGGGAAGAGAGCAGCCCTGGAGATGGGAATCCCCTTCCTCCCAGGCAGGCCTACGGCCCGGTCGGCACGCCCGCCCTGGCTCCGGCTTTCGGCTCCCTCAGCAAGAGGTGGGCGCCTCTGACAGGACCTCCTGACAGGGCTGCTGAGGGAAGGCGGCCTGCGAAGGCAGATGGGGGCGACGGAGGGCACCGGCCTCGGGGCGGCGGCCGACAGGCACCTGGGAGAGGGGCCTTGACGGGCGGGGAAGGGCTGAGCGGTGCCGCCCGACCCCGCTCCCCGCCGAC